ATTGTGTTTTCAGTACGACGCGAATATTATTATTATTATTTTTATAAACTTTACTTATTCGTTGATTTATGAACTACAATTTAATTTAATTTTTCAGGAGTAAACAAAACACTTTTGTGTAATAGCCTTCATTTCTACATTCTATGTTGTAATAATCTCATTACGAAACGAGTTTTCCATTTGTCACAACTTTTCGCCAAAAAGTGTAACAGTTAAGATTTTTTTGACACAAATGAAATCCGAATAAAACAGTTTTTATTATAACAATTCTTGGACAATTTTTTCATGTAACGTGTGAGTCACTTGAGCAAAGCATAATTGTGTTTTCAGTACGACGCGAATATTATTATTATTATTTTTATAAACTTTACTTATTCGTTGATTTATGAACTACAATTTAATTTAATTTTTCAGGAGTAAACAAAACATTTTTCTGTAATAGCCTTCATTTCTACATTCTATGTCGTAATAATCTCATTACGAAACGAGTTTTCCATTTGTCACAACTTTTCTCCAAAGAGTGTAACAGTTAAGATTTTTTTGACACAAATGAAATCCGAATAAAACAGTTTTTATTATAACAATTCTTGGACAATTTTTTCATGTAACGTGTGAGTCACTTGAGCAAAGCATAATTGTGTTTTCAGTACGACGCGAATATTATTATTATTATTTTTATAAACTTTACTTATTCGTTGATTTATGAACTACAATTTAATTTAATTTTTCAGGAGTAAACAAAACACTTTTCTGTAATAGCCTTCATTTCTACATTCTATGTCGTAATAATCTCATTACGAAACGAGTTTTCCATTTGTCACAATTTTTCTCCAAAGAGTGTAACAGTTAAGATTTTTTTGACACAAGTGAAATCCGAATAAAACAGTTTTGATTATAACAATTCTTGGACAATTTTTTCATGTAACGTGTGAGTCACTTGAGCAAAGCATAATTGTGTTTTCAGTACGACGCGAATATTATTATTATTATTTTTATAAACTTTACTTATTCGTTGATTTATGAACTACAATTTAATTTAATTTTTCAGGAGTAAACAAAACACTTTTCTGTAATAGCCTTCATTTCTACATTCTATGTCGTAATAATCTCATTACGAAACGAGTTTTTCATTTGTCACAACTTTTCTCCAAAGAGTGTAACAGTTAAGATTTTTTTGACACAAATGAAATCCGAATAAAACAGTTTTTATTATAACAATTCTTGGACAATTTTTTCATGTAACGTGTGAGTCACTTGAGCAAAGCATAATTGTGTTTTCAATACGACGCGAATATTATTATTATTATTTTTATAAACTTTACTTATTCGTTGATTTATGAACTACAATTTAATTTAATTTTTCAGGAGTAAACAAAACATTTTTCTGTAATAGCCTTCATTTCTACATTCTATGTCGTAATAATCTCATTACGAAACGAGTTTTCCATTTGTCACAACTTTTCTCCAAAGAGTGTAACAGTTAAGATTTTTTTGACACAAATGAAATCCGAATAAAACAGTTTTTATTATAACAATTCTTGGACAATTTTTTCATGTAACGTGTGAGTCACTTGAGCAAAGCATAATTGTGTTTTCAGTACGACGCGAATATTATTATTATTATTTTTATAAACTTTACTTATTCGTTGATTTATGAACTACAATTTAAGTTAATTTTTCAGGAGTAAACAAAACACTTTTCTGTAATAGCCTTCATTTCTACATTCTATGTCGTAATAATCTCATTACGAAATGAGTTTTCCATTTGTCACAACTTTTCTCCAAAGAGTGTAACAGTTAAGATTTTTTTGACACAAATGAAATCCGAATAAAACAGTTTTTATTATAACAATTCTTGGACAATTTTTTCATGTAACGTGTGAGTCACTTGAGCAAAGCATAATTGTGTTTTCAGTACGACGCGAATATTATTATTATTATTTTTATAAACTTTACTTATTCGTTGATTTATGAACTACAATTTAAGTTAATTTTTCAGGAGTAAACAAAACACTTTTCTGTAATAGCCTTCATTTCTACATTCTATGTCGTAATAATCTCATTACGAAATGAGTTTTCCATTTGTCACAACTTTTCTCCAAAGAGTGTAACAGTTAAGATTTTTTTGACACAAATAAAATCCGAATAAAACAGTTTTTATTATAACAATTCTTGGACAATTTTTTCATGTAACGTGTGAGTCACTTGAGCAAAGCATAATTGTGTTTTCAGTACGACGCGAATATTATTATTATTATTTTTATAAACTTTACTTATTCGTTGATTTATGAACTACAATTTAATTTAATTTTTCAGGAGTAAACAAAACACTTTTCTGTAATAGCCTTCATTTCTACATTCTATGTCGTAATAATCTCTTTACGAAACGAGTTTTCCATTTGTCACAACTTTTCTCTAAAGAGTGTAACAGTTAAGATTTTTTTGACACAAATGAAATCTGAATAAAACAGTTTTTATTGTAACAATTCTTGGACAATTTTTTCATGTAACGTGTGAGTCATTTGAGCAAAGCATAATTGTGTTTTCAGTACGACGCGAATATTATTATTATTATTTTTATAAACTTTACTTATTCGTTGATTTATGAACTACAATTTAATTTAATTTTTCAGGAGTAAACAAAACATTTTTCTGTAATAGCCTTCATTTCTACATTCTATGTCGTAATAATCTCATTACGAAACGAGTTTTCCATTTGTCACAACTTTTCTCCAAAGAGTGTAACAGTTACGATTTTTTTGACACAAATGAAATCTGAATAAAACAGTTTTTATTATAACAATTCTTGGACAATTTTGTCATGTAACGTGTGAGTCACTTGAGCAAAGCATAATTGTGTTTTCAGTACGACGCGAATATTATTATTATTATTTTTATAAACTTTACTTATTCGTTGATTTATGAACTACAATTTAATTTAATTTTTCAGGAGTAAACAAAACACTTTTCTGTAATAGCCTTCATTTCTACATTCTATGTCGTAATAATCCCATTACGAAACGAGTTTTCCATTTGTCACAACTTTTCTCCAAAGAGTGTAACAGTTAAGATTTTTTTGACACAAATGAAATCCGAATAAAACAGTTTTTATTATAACAATTCTTGGACAATTTTTTCATGTAACGTGTGAGTCACTTGAGCAAAGCATAATTGTGTTTTCAGTACGACGCGAATACCTATTATTTACATATTCATTGATTGATGACGTACAATTTAATTTAATTTTTCAGGAGTAATCAAAACAATAATGTAGTAACCTCCATTTCTACATTCTATGTCGTAATAGTCTCATTACGAACCGACTTTTTCATTTGTCACATTGACGTTGCGCAACAAAACTAGCTAAATTATAATTTTCGCTTCGAAATCAACCATATGGCCAATAATCGCTTCCTCACCCCCAGACCCATCTCCTAACCCATCTCAATTTTTTCCAATCCGCCTAATTAAAACCCGGCTTATTATCTCTTCCCCAAAACCAACAACCGCTGCCCAGTAGACGCCCCCTGTCCGACTCCCGCCCTGCATCCCATAATTTATGTATTTGTTCCCTTTTCTCGACCTCCTCCCCGGGTGGTAAATTGGTTTTTGTTTTAAAAATGTACCCACGTCTCGACCGGTAGGTGGTCACGCCGAAATTCGCCACCACTCGAGACGAAACAGGTGGACAAAGAAGAGATTTGACAGGGACACAATGGTGGGCCTTTCTGCCCAGCACAATGGGATGGTTTATGGAGAGGCATAAACATGGGCTACCGCAAGATGTTTTTGAAAATCGCGTCTAATGCCCGATAAGTACCGAGATGGGCCATTGTGACGGCTATAATGAGAAGAGACCTGAACATAACAAGGCGGCACCTTTGCGGGGATAATCTGGGTCTAGTTTAACGGGTTTAAAGTTTACACAATGGGAGAAGGGATGGATGGGTCCCGAGGGCCACTACCAAACCGAAACGTCACCTATGGGTTTTTTAAAAAATATATACTACTAGTAGTATAAAAAATTCGTTAAATCGTGTCTCGTTTCGTGAAAAAACAATTTCCGATTTTCCTCCGTGTTTGCCGGGGCGGCGAACACAACATTTCGTTTAGTTTTTTGTTCCCGTGTCAACAGAAATCTCTAAGTAGGCTTTGCAATGGTTAATACCAAGCCAAATATTTGTCTAAAGAGCTTTTGGCTTGCCGCCATATTTGAACAGTGCCGTGTTTACATACGAATCAATTTAGAAGCGGGATCGAACGTTTTACTTCATATAAAATACATAAACACACAATTTCAATCACACTTGAGGGTGCTCTGCCTCTTCTCCGAAACGTCGCGTCAGAGGTGCGACATTACGCGAACATAACAGTAACAAGGTGACGTTAAAGCAAGGTTAACAGCCGTTGCACCTCACCTTTGTGCGTAATGTGAGCTGACCTTTATTCCACCGCCCGGATTAGGCGCGAATCCGGTAAACTTTCCCCGGAGCGGCTTTTAATGAAATTTCAATGTTGACTTACCGGAACTGGCGCGCGGAAAATGCGAAAGAGAGGCTGATTGAAGTATTAACCGCGGAATTTTAACTTACCCCAGCTTTTCGGGTAATTTCCCGGCTGGATTCGTGGACGGTCCCGGCGTCACGTGAGGCCGTAAAACCGCGTTTTCCGTCCTTGGCACATAAAAATTTCAGCTCAGGTACAAGAGAGCCCGTTTCTCAGCTAATGTGTTTTGGTGACGACAAGTAACGAGCTCCGACCGTAAATAATTTAAAAAGTCAAGTTTTAGTGTTTTAAAGTCAAAAGCGGCCCACTTAAAGTGGACGCCCTACGGCTCCGGGTAACATTCTTTCCGCACGAATATCTCTCGTATCTTGTCCTTTATTTTTTATTGATCGAACGGGCCATCCTTTATTATTTTTTTTTGGTATATTATTATATATTATAGTTACTTTTGGTTTTTGAGTTTCATTCAAACTATAAGGTGTTTTTGGTTTCAGTTGAAAGAAAAAGCTGTTGATTTCCTGGTACGTAAATTTTAATTATTCTATTTCTCGAGTTTGGTTGGATTTGATGGAAGTAGAGGCGCGGATGAAAGCCAGATTTTGTGCTTTGGATAATGAGAGTTTGATGTTTGCTAAGTTCAAAAGTGCACTGAATGCAGTGAATGCGTTATTCAAACTTCATGAAATCTGGTTTTCTTGTTTAATTTATTACTTTCCGGGAAAGTTTGCTAAAAACCAAAATTACCTTTCAAAAAATTCATTTAAAAATACTAATTTGATTATCATTTTTAATTATCCCCAAGTTAGTTATTTAGAATTAAAATATTAAAGGCGCCGCCAATTTTTATGGTTTGTAATTATTATTTATTCGGGTTGGTTAATTTAGCGGTAATTTCTAACCTCAAACTTATATTAATTTCACACGCATAATAAAAACGTTTGTCGCACGTCAACGCGTCACACAAAAAATCCACAAATTTAACGTGTTTTTAACGCTTCTGTAATAAAATTTAAATATAATCTACGTTCAAGAATGTCGTACTTACGAATTAAATAATGCTCTAGTATAAATGCAAAATGCTGAAATGAACAAAAAATTTAATATCGACGTTGAAAAAACGTTATATTTAGTTCATGAAGTAAATTTTGCTATTTCCCACAATTTCTTTACTTTTTTATGGTACGGTTTATTTTTTAAAGTGTTTAAAGGACATCATAGCATGCCAGGTACATATTAAACAATCAAATGACGCTAAATTCAGAAACTAATGGAGAATTACGTCTTAAAAACGTTATTTGTACAACTATATCTTAAATTGGAGCCAAATAGGTCGGAACGTGGAATACAAATAAATATATTTGTTAAAAAAAAAGTTATATTTAGTTCATTTCACTGCAATTCAATTTGAGGTTAAAAACGTTAGATAAACGTATCTAAATTTGCTCTGAAGGGGAAGATGAAATTTTAATTAATCATCATTCTTTAACAACTTCTTAGACTAAATATTTTTTCTTCGGAAAAAAATAATTACAGTTATTTGAGAAGGGAAATTTTGTTAAAAAGCACGAATATAGCACATGGCGCATATTTTTAAATGACGTTATTCTAACGTTGAGAGTCCTTAAATATTTTTTTATGAAATTATACTATTAAAAGTTTCAAGAGTTTCTTCCTATTTCCTGTCCTTTCTATAGTTTATTTTTAAGGTAATCGAAGGACATCATAGAATTAGGCTATCAAAAAAAGATAAAAGGATAAACTGGTGGAAAATTACGTCTTAAAAACGTTATTTCTACATTTATACATCAAATATTGAAACAAATACATCGGACGTCAAATCATTTTAGTTTAGCCTGATTTAGTTTTATCTTGACGTTGGAAAAACCTTATATTTAGTTCATTATAATGAAATTTCTCGTTAAAAACTAAAAAAAAAACAACGTACAATTGTTCTGAAATGGAAGACGAAATTTTTATTAAATATTATTCTTTAATAACCCTTCAATCGAATTATTTTTTCTTCTGAACTACGAACGCGTGAGACTAATTTATAAATAACGTTATTTTAACGTTGAAATTTTCTATGAAGTTTTGCCATATATTTTCATATTTTTTTTTTGCTTTTCATGGTACGGTATATTTTTTAAGGTATTTAAAGGACATCATAGAATCCCAGGTACATATTAAACTGTCAAATGACAGTAAATTCAAAAACTAATAGAAAATTACGTCTTAAGAACGTTATTTGTACTTTTATATATTAAATTGGAGATAAATAAATCGGAACGAGGAATACAAACAAACATATTTATTTAAAAATGCTTGATGAATTTGCGTTTTATTTTGACGTTGAAAACACGTTACATTTAGTTCACTTCACTGTAATTCAATTTCACGTTAAAAACATTAGAAAAAAGTACATTTGCTCTGAAGGGGAAGATGAAAATTTAATTAATCATCATTCTTTAACAACTTTTCAAACTAAATATTTTTTCTTCGGAAAAAAATAATTACAGTTATTTGACGTTTATTTAACGTCGTGGTATAACTACGTAAATTTCATATCGTGTATCGTGTCACATGGGAACGAAAAACTTGAATTTTATTTTAACAAGAAGGGAAATTTTGTTAAAAAACACGAAGACATGGCACATATTTTTAAATGACGTTATTCTAACGTTGAAAGTCCTTAAATATTTTTTTATGAAATCATACTATTAAAAGTTTCAAGACTCTCGTTCTATTTCCTGTACTTTCTATGGTTTATTTTTAAGGTAATCGTAGGACATCATAGAATTAGACTATAAAAAAAAGATAAAAGGATAAACTGGTGGAAAATTACGTCTTAAAACGTTATTTCTACATTTATACATCAAATATGGAAACAAATACATCGGACATCAAATAATTTTAGTTTAGCCTGATTTAGTTTTATCTTGACGTTGGAAAAAGCTTATATTTGGTTCATTATAATGAAATTTTTCGTTGAAAACTAATAAAAACATACATTTGTTCTGAAATAGAAGACGAAATTTTAATTAAATATTATTCTTTAGTAACCTTTCAATCAAAATATTTTTTCTTCTGAAATACCAACGCGTAAGACTAATTTATAAATAACGTTGTTTTAACGTTGAAATTTTCCTATGAAATTTTACCATATATTTTCACGTTTTTTTTTTTTGCTTTTTATTGTACGGTATATTTTTTAAGGTATTTAAAGGACATCATAGAATCCCAGGTACATATTAAACTATCAAATGACGGTAAATTCAAAAACTAATGGAAAATTACGTCTTAAGAACGTTAATTGTACTTTTATATATTAAATTGGAGATAAATAAACCGGAACGTGGAATACAAACAAACGTATTTATTTAAAAATGCTTGATGAATTTACGTTTTATGTTGACGTTGAAAACACGTTACATTTAGTTCACTTCACTGCAATTCAATTTCACGTTAAAACATTAGAAAAAAGTGCATTTCCTCTGAAGGGGAATATGAAAATTTAATTAATCATCATTCTTTAACAATTTTTCAAACTAAATATTTTTTCTTCGGAAAAAAATAATTACAGTTATTTGACGTTTATTTAACGTCGTGGTATAACTACGTAAATTTCATGTCGTGTATCATGTCACATGAGAACGAAGAACTTGTATTTTATTTTAACAAGAAGGGAAATTTTGTTAAAAAACACGAACATAGCACATGGCGCGTATTTTTAAATGACGTTATTCTAACGTTGAGAGTCCTTAAATATTTTTTTATGAAATTATACTATTAAAAGTTTCAAGAGTCTCTTTCTATTTCCTGTACTTTCTATAGTTTATTTTTAAGATAATCGAAGGACATCATAGAATTAGGCTATCAAAAAAAGATAAAAGGATAAACTGGTGGAAAATTACGTCTTAAAAACGTTACTTCTATATTTATACATCAAATATTGAAACAAATACAACGGACGTCAAATAATTTTGGTTTAGCCCGATTTAGTTTTATCTTGACGTTGGAAAAACCTTATATTTAGTTCATTATAATGAAATTTCTCGTTAAAAACTAAAAAAAAAACAACGTACAATTGTTCTGAAATGGAAAACGAAATTTTTATTAAATATTATTCTTTAATAACCCGTCAATCGAATTATTTTTTCTTCTGAACTACGAACGCGTGAGACTAATTTATAAATAACGTTATTTTAACGTTGAAATTTTCTATGAAGTTTTACCATATATTTTCACATTTTTTTTTGCTTTTTATGGTACGGTACATTTTTTAAGGTATTTAAAGGACATCATAGAATCCCAGGTACATATTATACTATCAAATGATAGTAAATTCAAAAACTAATAGAAAATTACGTCTTAACAACGCTGTTTGTACTTTTATATATTAAATTGGAGATAAATAAATCGGAATGTGGAATACAAACAAACATATTTATTTGAAAATGCTTGATGAATTTACGTTTTATGTTGACGTTGAAAAAACGTTATATTTAATTCACTTCACTGCAATTCAATTTGACGTTAAAAACGTTATAAAAATGTACATTTGCTCTGAAGGGGAAGATGAAAATTGAATTAATCATCATTCTTTAACAACTTTTCAGACTAAATATTTTTTCTTCGGAAAAAAATAATTACAGTTATTTGACGTTTATTTAACGTCGTGGTATAACTACGTAAATTTCATATCGTGTATCGTGTCACATGAGAACGAAAAACTTGTATTTTATTTTAACAAGAAGGGAAATTTTGTTAAAAAACACGAACACAGGACATGGCGCAAATTTTTAAATGACGTTATTCTAACGTTGGGAGTCCTTAAATATTTTTTTATGAAGTCATACTATTAAAAGTTTTAAGACTTTCGTTCTATTTCCTGTACTTTGTATGGTTTATTTTTAAGGTAATCGTAGGACATCATGGAATTCGACTATCAAAAAAAGATAAAAGGATAAACTGGTGGAAAATTACGTCTTAAAAACGTTATTTCTACATTTATACATCAAATATTGAAACAAATACACCGAACGTCAAATAATTTTAGGTTTATCTGATTTAGTTTTATCTTGACGTTGGAAAACCCTTATATTTTGTTCATTATAATGAAATTTTTCGTTAAAAACTAAAAAAAAACGTACATTTATTCTGAAATGGAAGACGAAATTTTAATTAAATATTATCCTTTAGTAACCCTTCAATCGAAATATTTTTTCTTCTGAACTACGAACGCGTAAGACTAATTTATAAATAACGTTGTTTTAACGTTGAAATTTTCTATGAAATTTTACTATATATTTTCAGAATTTCTTTAACTTTTTATGGTACGATTTATTTTTTTAAGATATTTAAAAGGCATAATAAAATACTAGGTACACATTCAACTATCAAATGACCGTAAATTCGAAAACGTTATTTGTACAATTATATATTAAATTGGAGCTAAATAGATCAGAACGTGGAGACAAAGATATTTGTTTAAAAATGCTTTGATGAATTTGCGTTTTATGTT